GCGGCGAAGGACAGTAAAATAACTAGAATGCCACAGATATAATTGTAAAACTAGTATGAAAATCTAAAATATCGTAACTATGAAAGACAATACAATATAAAAAAACGAGCTATATATCGCCAACAACTGAAGGTAGATCACCATACTAGGAACCATTCGGGCTGTGAATAGTCATCCCGACCGGGATGTATGCGAAGTAGTCCGTCAATTGCTGCAACCGGGTCTAAATGGTGACCCGGAGGCTTTGGTAGGTATACATATTTTTCATTATCTAAACTGAAGTTTTTGACTAGTTAAGATCAATACGATAAGCATCACCATACGACTGCAATTGTTTAATCATCACGAGTTCCAGTCACTAAAAGATTACTTGGTCTGAGCATCCCAAAAACACCAATGAGACAAGCGACCAAAATAGTCACACCTAACACACTGTCATTCACACTGACCTTGATGATGAGAAGATAATATGGCTTTAGCTAGATTCTGAGAGTATTCTATCTGTCGCGTAGCACCATGCAGAACGTGTGCTATGCGTCAGTTATCATTGATGGGATCTTCCAAGCCACTTTCTTTGTGTATATTGGAGATGATACTTAGATATTGTGTCACTGTCGAATACTTCAATTGTTTAACATCAACCATAAAAGCAATATATCACATTACACTTTCTTCTGATAGAGGCACAGGATCTATCTGCAGCTTGTCACAAAATAACATGAAACATTTAAATTGAGACCTGTACGTAGTTTTGGTTGAATCTGCCCATCCCTGGGTTTGTAGACGCTGGACTCCTCTTTGAAGACGACATCCCATCTCCCCATCTACAAAGTTCGTGACATGCGATTTTCTTGACTGTGACTCGAGAATTCGATCAAGGACAAATCATAGAGCCGTGGCAAGCTCCAGGCCACATGCATTCTGGAGGCTGTATTTGCTACTTTGTTCTTCAAACCTGGTATGCCTGTAACCAAAACTACAAATAATGCATTGCAAACGATATTTTGCAGGTTCCCATGTTATCATGGCTTTTGTGCGTATTGTCAGTTTTTTTACAACTCGTTTGCACATGACAACCTGATAGCTAATAAAACTATGGCCAGACACTCCGTTAATGTGCATATCACTCACATCTGACATGTCACATTGCCAGTTTACATAAAAGAAATCACCCATGTAAAACGCAACAGCTCCTTGGGAAGAAGCATCCGTCTCGACAGTACCTATTGGACGCTTATCAAGTGAGTGAGTTGGTGAGTTAAGATTTATAGTCACATCGGCAATACTTCAGCCATATCGTGACTTAAAAAGTTATAAATTTATAATAAATAAATCAAATTACAAAAACCTGTCGACGAAGGACATTAACATAACTAGATTATCACAGATAGAAACGTTAAACCAGTAAGCAAATCTATAACATCATAACTATAGAGGACAACTAGTTGGATATACACCATCCCTTCAGATGTTAGCAATTTTGACATTCTAGTGATAAATTAAAATAACATATATACTGCAGTTAAATATAATAGTATGTTTAAATTTATTTGAATTGTTTTGCGACTTACGTACCCTCTCAGGAGAAGAGTACGTAAGTCCCAAAACAATTCAAGTAAACTAAAACATACTATTATTTTTAACTGCAGTATCAAGGACGCTTATGAAGGAATTTCTTGGAACCATTGAACACTTCACGCCATGACAGTAATACTACTGGGAGGGTGGGAGGGATTTTTTGTCAAGTGCAGTGCAAGCGTGCACGTCTTGTCGCCTAAGCGTTTCTAAGGGAGTTAACTCTATTCTACTGTAAGGTTACGTCAAGGGTGAAGTTGTGGTCAAAAGGAGGTAACTCTTGTCCTAACTCAAAGTCCATTTTATGACATAACATAACAAGTCAAATTCAAACCTCTGAACATATGTATTCCATTTTTCTTATGTCCCCTGATGTGTTATTACTTGTACATTGCTGAAATTATAAAAATCACTCACTAACATTGCCATCAGGTCATGGCGTCACATTGCAAAATGATTGTTCATTTCTGCCACAAATGTGACATTTACGACTGGTTTCTGGTCAACAAAACCTGCAAGAGTTATCTGCACTCTCACATGCCACCAGGACAATATCAACTGTGTTCAGTGGATATTGAACCCAGATAACAGCATGTTGTACAGGCAGCTGTGAGGCCAAATTAGAAAAGACTTCCTCTATTTTAACTTCCTTCACTGTCAACCCAAAATTCCATGGAATAAAATAGCAAATACTAATGTAAGTGCAGATTGTTTTTCTTTTAATCAAATGAAAATCATTATTATAGCTCTCTGAACATGTGAAGAAGCCCTCGCAGAATATCTGATTTTGATGAGATTGTGTTTCTGTGTACTGTCTGTCTTACGCATCATAATCAAACTATTTACTAAAACCTCATCTACCCTATAAATTAAATGGATGCAACCTGAACGAGAAATAATGTCACATTATGGCATTGAAACACCTCAAATAAAAACACCAAACCGGCATTAATAAATATACAGCATTTTAAATTCTGTAAATTTAAATTAAATTTTAAATTCAATCTCATTGATGCCAGGATATCCTTAATCTTTCATTCAAAGTACATTAAAAATTATTTGTTCAAAACTTTACTTCTTAAATGTTATCTCTGTATAAGATTCAGGACAAGACAATCCAGTGGTCAGCATCAATGAGCATCGATCTACACATTTGGGATATGATGACATGAGTCAACAAAGTCAGCGAGTCTGACCATGATATTAGGAATCTTTGTATTCAAGCAAATATTTTTTACTGTCATTTCCTAAAGACTTGGGGTTCAGTATCGGCGTAATGAGCAGGTCTAAGTAAATACCTGCACATAGAATGTTTTGTTTTGCGATCATTATTCACTGTGATAGTGAGTGATAAAGTGATCTATTCATGTATCTCCAGGCAATCCAAGGTAATGAGAATGAGTTGGTGTCTGGATCTGTGGACAAAGAGATGAGGTGAGTAGCAAGCTTGTTTGTTCTATTGGTTAACACAATTAATTTAGGTTAAAGTTTAACCATCGGCAAGGTTCCAGCTCGGTGAGAAGCAAGCTTGTTTGTTCTATTGGTTAACACAATTAATTTAGGTTAAAGTTTAACCATCGGCAAGGTCAGTGAAAAGCAAGCTCGGTGAAAAGCAAGCTTGTTTGTTCTATTGGTTAACACAATTGAGTTAGGTTAAAGTTTAACCATCGGCAAGGTTCCAGCTCTGTGAGAAGTAAGCTTGTTTGTTCTATTGGTTAACACAATTAATTTAGGTTAAAGTTTAACCATCGGCAAGGTTCCAGCTAGGTGAGTAGCAAGCTTGTTTGTTATTTAGGTTAACACATTTAATTTAGGTTAAAGTTTAACCATCGGCAAGGTTCCAGCTCGGTGAGAAGCAGGCTTGTTTTTTCTATTGGACAACACAATTAATATAGGTGAAAGTTTAAAAATCGGTAAGGTTCCAGCTAGGTGAGTAGCAAGCTTGTTTGTTCTATTGCTTAACACAAATAATTTAGGTTAAAGTTTAACCATCGGCAAGGTTCAAGCTCGACGAGAAGCAAGCTTGTTTGTTCTATTGGTTAACACAATTAATTTAGCTTAACGTTTAACCATCGGCAAGGTTCCAGCTAGGTGAGAAGTAAGCTTGATTGTTCTATTGGTTAACACAATTAATTTAGGTTAAAGATTAACAATCGGCAATGTTCCAGCTAGGTGGCTCAGTCAATAAATATTCGAGTCTTGACCGACCAAGTTCTCGATTTTGTGAATAGCGGGTTTTTTCCATCAGGGTCCAACATAATCATAATCTGTAGAATTATTCTTACTGCTTTCAATGTCATGGGATTAATTAATTACAATACCTTACCGTAGTAATGCCAAAGGTACACCATTAATTGTTCCATCCGGTTACCCGTTCGGTTAAATTATAATTCCATTATACTACCTCTGATTTCAAAGTGGTGATGGGGTAGCATAGTAGTTAGTGTGTTCGCTCGTCACGCCTAAGAACGGGGTTCGATTCCCAGGTTGGGTACAATGTGTTAAGCCAATTTCTGGTGTCCCCTGTCTTGATATTACTGGAATATTGCTAAAAGCGGCGTAAAACTAAACACACTCCAACTAATCATTGCATTTGACTACTTTCTAAATCCCGCAGTAAGAAATTCAAGTGGAATTTCACAATGATAGTATTTCCACAGGCAGTTTGAGGAATATTTCACATATGAGTGAGTGAGTAAGTTTAAATTTTATATCGCATCGGCAATACGACAGCCATATAGCGATGAAAACAGGGTAATCAATTTAAAATATCTGTCGACAAAAGACAGTAAAACTAACTAGACTATCACAGATATCTAAAACTAGTAATTAAATCTAAAATACTACAACTATAAAGGACGATACAATATAAAAACAGGCTATCGATTGCCAACAACTGAAAGTAGATCACCAAGTCACCATTTGCAGATGTTGAGGGATTTCTGGCTGAGTCTGGAGTCGATTGAGTGGTTATAAAATTTGGATCTACACTGCCAGATGGCAGCCCTAGGGAAATGAACAGTGTGTGTGTGTGTGTGTGTGTGTGTGTGTGTGTGTGTGTGTGTGTGTGTGTGTGTGTGTAGGGGGGGGGGGCTGTTTCGTTTATGAACCAACGTTTTGTTCACAAGAGCGAGGTACGAAGTATGCTTTTATATTGCATTTAGCAATATGCCGGCAATATCAAAAATGGACGGCGGGAAACACCTAAAATCTGCTTCACACAGAGTGAGTGAATATGGTTTTGTGCGGCTTTTAGCAATATTCTAGCTTCTCATGTCGGGAATTGAATCAAATAGACTCCCCACTGATTGCCTCTCCCCCGCCCTCCCTTCCCATTATGAATTTCTAGTCTCTTAACCAGCAGAAGTGTGTATGAAAAGTGTATAATTCTCAACAGCTTCCTATAACAGTGAGAAAGATAAACAGACAGACCAACAGACATTTTATTCAGTATAAAGGCCAAAGGCCCATATTTAATAAAATTGCTAAGTTGAAACAAGCGCACATAAAAGGTTACAGGTTTATACTTTGTCAATTGCAGCTCTGGTCTAAACATTTTTAAAAATTAAAAACATTTATGATAATATTTCTATCTTTACTGTTAAGGATGTGTATTAAGTTTTGTTTGCTGACAGTATTATTTAAATGGAATAATAAACATATTTCTAGCATCATTATATAATCTAAAATCAAAGAGAACATGCATTTCATCTTCAATACAGTTGATATTATCTAGTTTACATTAAAAACAGAATCTGTCATAGCTTCCTATTATGTGAGAGGAAAGGTGGTGATCATGGAAGTTGTTCTCAGAGTTGTCCTCTCAGCTCAGCCAGTACCTGCAGACCAAGGATACAATTATCAGATTATCATGGTCAGTTAATCAGCATTGTCATTACTAATGAAGACAAAAGCATAACATGTAATCAAATTCTACAAACAAAATTTAATAGGAAAAAGCCAAGGTTTTTGTTATAATTGTATTTTCATGTCTGGTATGTTCATTTCAAGAAACGTTTAGGTTTGTTTTTGTTAGTTTTATAATAACAAATTAACATTTTTATGCAGAGCATATTTTTCTTGTAATTTTTATATATAAATTTATATTTTAGTTTGTGTAGCAACTAGTTGCATGTTCCATAATTTGTCCATTCCATGAAGTTGTCCATTTCGCCTACTTCATGATTTTGTTATTACCGGTACCGGAAATACGTCACTGTACCTATATGTAAACTGAGTTCACGAGAGCTCGCACTTCTTCTAGCAGGAGAAATCAAAAAAGGGTTCAGCTACCTTTGACCCCAGAGGACACCCATGCTGACCCCCAAACCAGCCAAGCAGAACCTCGGTTCAAAGGAACCGACCTGAGACAGAGACTGCAGAACATGGGGGTCCAGATTCCCCAAATTCCGTAGAATCGGTGCACAATGTTGCAACTATTTGAAGAAAATTCTCGTCTCAAGTCCGTTGTCATCACACCTTCAAGGCGAGTGAGACAACACCAATGGTTATCGAGGGTCCCGTCTAGTACTGTGACGTCATCAGATACTTACAGTCCTTCGTCCGATGGGCAACAGCAGCCTACCTGCCATTAGGCACTTTAGGCGCGTGTCTACACCTAATTATTTCGGTAATTAAGAGGAAAATAAAGTATCCGTCCCAGAGTCCCATGCACCACCATAATTAGATCGAGAAACATTCACTTACATCGAAACGGCAAGATTGTCATTTGTTCAAATTATGTATATTATATATCAAGTAACCAGGACCTATCGATCGTTCAAGCATCAAATATGTATTCACAACTCTCCATGCAACAATTGGCTTCAGCTGATCTTACTAGCACTAGTCTACAGATTTTTCTATATGCATATAAATTGATACTGACTTCTGTTAACCCCACACACAGCCCCAAGAAAATACATGGAAAGTAGGATTTCCTTATTTGGATAAATAGGAAATCAGCTGATACATAATATTTTATGGCCAAATAGAATAACGACTTTTGTGAAAGAGATATTTTGTCATTGTTTTAATATGCTATAAAATTTTCGTTAGAATACTAAATTTATAAGTTCAATTACAGTAACTTCCCCATCGAAGTGTATTTCTATGAAAAGAATGTACACGTCCAGTTGTGCCTAAACTCTATTTCTTTCCTGGGTACGCCCCTGGGCAGTACCACTACGACAGGATGGCTCGTAATTCATCTAGACAGCTTGCATCGGAACAGCCAGCTTTTGCCGCGGACGACGCAGCTTCGAGGGTGCAGCAAAATCTCAAGAGTACGTGATACAAAATACAGAGGAACCCATTGCGCATGAGCAGTTTCAGAGTTCCTACTGCCGAACCGGTAAGTGTCGTTGTTGACTAAAGGAGGGAAGTCGCCGACCTGAGACGTATTGTCCGTGACACGACTGTACCTCAGATTTCCCCACACATGGACCTCATATTATCAAGAAAATCAAAGAAAGAAAATAAGTGAACTTAGCTATTCTGTTACTCCCTAATCAGGAACTAGGGGAGCCCATTTCGTGGACATCAATGGCAGCGCAATATTCCTCAGAGATGACACTCGAACAAGTCGTTCTCTCAAAATATATGACTTCTTGGAGGCGTTCGACATTTACAAGAGGATTTTCTGTGGTGATGACGTTAAAGTGCGGCAAATGGACCTTCACCAACAGACGTGCATCACCTTGTCAAAATATTAGGGTTGGTCAGCCCACTATGATTACCACAAACTCTTTGTGGGCAGAGTGGCTGTAGGGTGAGCAGAACAGGGCGTGCCTATTAACTGGGGAATCAGAGATGTTAACTTTTGGACCCTCGTCACATCCGGAAATAGAGCGAGGTCGTGTGACAAGTGACTTAGTGCCACTCATGCAACTGAGATGTGCCCTCAACCTGTCGAAGCAGGTTCAAAAGCTAGAGTTACCCCCTAGAACTTGGACAAAACAGAACAAAAGCTATAGATGTCAAAGGAAGGGATAGGTTGCGATTTGACAATGCTGAAATAAGTAAAAAAATCAACAAAGAGGATGTAGATCTGTCAACTGCATTTATTACCACTTGTGCCTTCAGTGCAGAAACACCAGACACGGTCTACGTCAGTGTAGATATAAGAAAGCTGAATGACCCGTCAATTTACAGACAGTCCTTCCAGCTATTCTTACTCCATCACCTTCCAATGTGGCATCATTAGAAGACCTTCTGTTACAACCTTCCGTATCGTATATCCATGTCGTCCATCCGTTCGTGTTTTCATCCTAAAAAACAACCATGGCCTTCTACCTCTCACGATTGTAAGAACAATCTTAGTGCTCGAACTCAGCCTCATGTTGGAGCGGTACTTGCCAAGAGAGAAGTCGAGCAGGGGTATGTCATCGGACCCATTGTCCACTTTTCATACTTATCATGTCAGCCCTCTAGGACTGGCTACAGGTAAATACATGTACAATAACAAGGAACGCCTGATTCTCGATCTATCTGTCCCGCATTCAGTCTACAACCACACCAAGCATCATCGAGTTCACGGACAAGGACGCCTGGTCCAAGCTATTTCCAGGTTTATGGAATCGGGAAAAGGGGCGTAGATGTGTAAAGTGTACATCAATGGCTTCAAACAAATTCCCCAAGCTCAGGCTGCACAGCTAGCTTTGAATGGAACGGTTCATATTTCTTTTATACTTGACTTGCCTTCGGATGCAGATCCAGTTCCGTCATCTTTGACACACTCTCACAAGCCATCAGCTGGATTTTACTCCACAAGCGCCAGATGGAACGCTCCAGCCCAGACAGCTCCAGCGTGATGTGAGCCTAAATCACAATCTCCAGCTATTGTGGTCTGCAACCGTAAGTCCCAAGACAAGAGCCACTTATGCTACCAGATTCCCGCGATACTTGGGATTCATGTTGCGGTTTCACCTCTGTTCTACATTCAACAACCCAACTAGCATTCATGAGAATATCTAGTATGGCCAATACGACATGACATCGTCGCATGATGTGATCTTCGAATCTGGACTGACAACCCAAGTAGGTGTAACCAATATAGGGTTTTATTGCATATATTTTATTTATACCTACTTGGGTGTCCCACTTCTTCTGCATCAGATCACGGATGTATGATATCCCAACACGAGCTGAATTCGACGTTCTGGTGATTTCGACGATTTCATTGCTCGCGCTATATCGGGTGAGTACGTGTGCGATCGAAGTGCACAAACAGTTTCACTGGTAGAGCGGGTGCCCAGTCTCTGTCGTGAGAAGTTTTATTGACAATGGAAATCGGGAAGTAAAGTTATATAAAAAGCAAACAAACATCAATAGTATTTACCCGAGATCGTTAATACCACTTCAGATGCAAAATCAGTTGCCTTTATAACAAAATATAGCAAGCGAAAATTCAGTAAGATCAGTCGTCTGCTGGTGACAGGCAATATATAAATAGGAAGCCACGTGATCACAACACTCCCCGGGAGTGCGGAGCAAAAAGTATGGCTAATCGTCGAAAAGCCATACAAAATTCCCTGATGTTACGAGCGGCCACAGTTTCGCCGATACGATGTCATCAACGCTATTTTTGTACGAAACACTTGATATTTTTGTGTGAAATAGATGAATATATCCTTTATCACTCCAGGTTAGTAAAATAAAAACTTTAAATGATATTACTGATAAAAATTACATTTTTGTCTTACATCGTCGAAAACCCCTGACAACGGGATATAATAATAGCTTTGTAATCAGAGTATGGAATCACAAGTAGTGTCACAGATTTGTTGAGTGCTGTCTGAGCAGCAAAATCGGCCATTGTGTTACCAGAAATGCCAACATGGCTGGGTAACCAACAGAGGACGATGTCGTATTGGCAAGTTGCATGGTCATTGTATAATTCAATAATTTCAATTGTTTTAATAGCCTGAAGGCACAAAAGAGATTCAGAAAAGATTATATGTTGTTTATATTTAGGGTGTTTTAAATATATACTGAAAGGCAAAAGAAACGTGGTAATATTGGAAATGACATTTAAGTGTTAATGGAGTATTTGAACCTATTTTTTTAAATATACACCAGAAGTCAAGTTTGAGGAAAACATTAATCGTGGTCGTATAGCCTGTTTTTTCAATAAAGTATTGTTTGAGATAGCGGTTAGAAATGTTTTTGTTAGTGGAAAGGGAAGAGTTCGCACAAACACAACATTGAAATCGAGATGCACGTGCATCATGCATGCATCCAGGCATAAATTGCCGGCTTGAATGGCAACCGTTCACTTGTTTCCTGAACACAGCAACCATGGCTAGGTTATGCATGATGCACGTGCATCTCGATTTCAATGTTGTGTTTGTGCTAACAACACTACGAAATATGTACTTACGTTCTGTGCATGACGCTCCCGTATATCCGGTCCCGCATGTACACCTTCCTGGGGACGAGCATGTTGCACCATTAGCACACAGGGGGTAACAGATTGCTGAAAGAACACAGAGTACACACAAATACATATCGGACCACCAGCAGAATGCATTTTTTTTAAAGAAACAAAGAAGAAATTAAAATATTTTCTTTATATTCAATTATTCTTTACAAAATACCATAACAATCCATCTCATGTTTGTCTACAATTGTTCTGAAATGACAACAGTAAGTGAGTGAGTTAATATTTATTTTCACATCGCAATATTTCAGCCATATCGTGACTAGAACAATTAATGATTATATCATATATCAATAAAATTAGAAAATAACACCTGTTGACGAAGAACAGTAAAACCAACTAGTGTATCACAGATATCCATTTAAAACTATTGATGAAATCTAAAACATGTTAACTAGAAATGACAAGACAATGTAAAACAGGCAATAGATTGCCACCAACTGAAGGTAGATCACCATACTAGGGACGGAAACGACAACAGAGCAGTGGACATCCATCATATGAATTTATCTTTGGCTTCAACACAAAAGTAAAAAGTGATAGATTTTGTAACAGTAATCACGTCTGTTGCAGTTTTGGTTTCCACGGTAGTCGATCCATCCGGCACAGCACTTATAACGCCGGGTATAGACGGGTACGGTTACAGATCCATAGGCACAACACCTGAAACAGAAATAGTTTTCATCTTGTCAATAATTTAATTACGAGATTGTAGAACTACCATCGGGAGTGTTTTCTACTGACGTTTTCGAGTCAATGAATGTTTGAGGTCAGCCAACATGACTAGACTTTTTCATAAATTTCTTAAAATTCTCTACTGGATGCATGGACGGATGCAACACCAAAACGTATCATAACAGATACAGTTATTCAATGCTATAAACCAATCCGATAACATTATCAGGTTAGCGTAAAAACTAATTTCCGATGGACAATTTAAATCAGAAACACTAATAACTGAACTGTTAATGGTCATATGTACAAGGGTCACAGGAATTATAAAGACAGACCAAAGTCTTAATTTCGGTGCATTTGCACAATCAGAAACAAATCAGATAAACTCACCTCCACCACCAACAACGTGCTATACATTGTCCTCTCCGTGTTTCATAGTTAACCGCGTTATAAGGACAGTAGTGTCTGAAACATACAATATACATTAGAGAAAACAAATCTAGCCCTTGGGCAAAGTGTGTTTTCTTTAAAAACCGACACAATCTTAAACATTAAATCAATTACAACAACTATTGGACATGTTCAAATTACTAACTGGTACGTCTTGACCAACACGTGGAAGAGGTAAAAACTACTACTGTTCCAAGACAAGATATTACAAAGCCATTTGATCCTAGTTATGTGGGCTATCAGATTCAGTAGTTGTTGAATGCAGGGTTTTCAAGTCAGGGCCAGCATGAACGCAGTTCGCTCTCAAGATCGTCAGGCATGGATGGTATTAAATCCCGGACTCGTTCATATACTCCTCATGTTGCCAGTGGAAGATTCAGTAAGGTTAGGTTTCCTCAGGACATGAATTCATCTGAGGGAAGGAGATACTTGGCTTTGCCTTTGCCGAATTCTAGAAAGCGGCGGTCGCAGCTGTATACGTCTGAGAGTGATATCGTTGGGGTAGTCGATAGAAGGGTTTCTAGGAGGGAAAAGCAGCTGATACATTTTGATGGCAAGTCTAGTGATTGGCATGACCAGATCGTACATTTTGAACAGAGAGCTTCGTGAAACGGTTGGACATATTCTGAGAGTGCTCAGCAGTTGACAATGAGTCTCAGGGACACAGCACAGAAGCTGTAATCTTACCTATGGTCAGTTGTCAGATTATCGGGTTATCAAATCAATGTGAACACAGAGGTTCAATCCTTGAGAATGTTCAGTTGCGTATATGTTTGAGTTTAGAAATAGACAGGGGAAAGATGAAACAACGACTGACTATGGGTACCAGCTGAGGAGATTAGCATTATTGGCTTTAGAGATGCAGGTCAAAGATCAGTTTGTGTCAGGACTGTCACGTTTTTTAAAATGACCAGACTCGTCCTATTGCATGACCTTTCTGTGGATTAAAAGACCCGTGACGCAGTGTTTGGGTGAATACAGATGGCCGTGAGAAAGATGGCCGCTATACCACTAGTGAACCAGCAGTCATATTCAGCGCAGCTCGGATTTCGAACCCCTAATTTGTGAATCCCAGTGTATTGTCACCCGTTTCCTCCTGGATTTACAGAAACACCCTCTACGCCGCTGAGTTGTTACCAGTAAAGAGACAACTCATGTGGAAAATTCGATGCATTTCAAACACAGCATTATGCTCAAGAAAGACGTACAACTCTTTTCTGTAAAGTATTCCTTTACATACAATTAAATCTTTGGTGTCAGCTTCATGGAAAAATGTGATTGTAATGAAAGGGCAAAATCCACCTCAGCTCACAGGCTTCTAGAATGAATATCCATGCATCCAGACTGACTTTATAACTCTCGACAGGGAAGTTGAATAGGACATTGTCGAACAAAGAAGTTAGTGTTCAGTTCTCAAGCCTATGCATGGGATAAAGATGACAATCTGCTCGTAGTATCATATTTTTCACCTGACTATCAAACCATACATGCTTTGACGGCAGTGGTCGCCATTACATGGATTCAATTCAATATGAAACTGTGTTGACAAAAATGAGTCTATACTAACTGTTATATAAGGCCAGTTGCATGTTATATAACTTTCAGCATTGTGATATAGATATGGCACAGACACAACATAATCATAGCGAGTTGGGGATTCGAAGACCCTATCATAGACATCTGGAAATTCAATGAATTTTACGATGTACACTGAACACTACCCATGAAGATCCGGGTTAGAATCGGTCTTCAGCATCCGATGCTTGTCGTAAGAGCAATCACCAAACCTGTTATAACCAACAGTATAATTATGGGAATGTATTCACGGGAATGATATTGATTCCAGGGTTGTGGCCCATGCTTGTCCTTAGAGGCGAGTTAGACTGTCAGGTTTCTTCACTTTGATGACACATGCCATCGTATCCCAACTGCTTAGATCGTGCTCATGATGTTGATCACTGGATTGTCTAGTCCAGACTCGATTATTTACAGACCGCCTCCCCACGGTCCCTGGTATGGTGATCTACCTTCAGTTATTGGCGATTTATAGCTCATTTTTATACTGTATTGTTTTCCCCTATAGTTAAAACGTTTTAGATTTAATTACTAGTTTTACATACATATCTGTGATATTCTAGTTGTTTTACTGTCCTTCGTCGGCAGGTTTTTGTTTAATATACATATATTTCATTTCAATATCAGATGTTCTCGTAACGATATGGCTGAAATATTGCCGATGTGACGTTAAATATTTACTCACTCACTCACTCACTACAGACCGCCGCCCTAGAGCTGAATTATTGGCTGAGTGTGGCGTTAAACAACAAACAGACACACGAATTGCAACATCTTAGATTACTGATCTTAATTTTCGTTGACGTTGACCATGTTCAAAATAACTTGATATAATAACTTCACAATTCAACTCTATATGATTATGTAAACAATAGTCTAAACCCCAACATAACAATTACAAAGCAAACATCAATGGAAACAGATACATGTTTGACAGCTGTGTGGTTTGTTCATTTTATCTGTTACCAGCTGCACTTCTTTCCACCATTAGTTTAAAGCAACAAATCTCTCCTATTTGTTACATCAAAATTACATCCCCAAGATTGTTTGAGAAGGGGAATGACGTCAACGTTCAAAGGGTAAACTTTGTGTCTTTACTGTTGTTGCTGTTGATGAACTGTTAGTTCATGTCTATTAATGTATGCGTCATTCCTTCATTCAGTCAAAGTCAAAGGGTCTTTTTGCACAGATCAATTTACCGTGATGTGCCAATAGAGACATTGGAATGATGCCATTTTGGTGTCAAAGTATTTTTTTTATGAAGCAAATTTTCATGGTGACAAACTGGAGGTTCTCCAGTACGTCGAAAATTATTTCCTTGCGGATTATGTTCAATCTTGTATTAGCCATTTCTGAAACCATCTTGTGCCTCATTTGGTATTTTTGTCCAATGTACTAATCTCTTGATATTGCTAATATTGACTCTTTCAGTGGATCGGTATAATAATACCAATTGACCAATCCTGAGGATACTTCAAGTAATGGAACCAGCTACTGAAATATGATCCAAGTTGCTGTCATGCAGTCATTTCTCAGCCTCTTTTCTCCTATTTATTAATATCTTAGCTAGTAGGCCCGTTAACCTGGGTTGATATCGGATTGGCTGTGTTGACATTGATCAACTGTCCCAGACTCCATGACACGTGATGTTTACTCATTGTCAGGAAAGTATGTAAAACAGGTCGACTGAAGAAAGACACATGCATATGTAAATGAGCCCTTAAGTGTTAGAAATGACTCACACGATGGATTTTTCACAGTATGTGTCCCCAGTACCCTATATCCGTCCCTATGGGTGATGAGTGAGTTTATATATAAACAATTGATATAATACAAAAATGAAAACATTGTGAAGAGTTAAACCTGTCGACGATGGACAGTATCACAGATATGAACATAAAACTAGCATGTAAAATTAAAACAGTGTAATTAAAGAAGACAATACAATATATAACACGGGCTATAGATCGCCAACATCTGAAAGTAGATCACCATTCTAGGAACCATGGGGACTTACATTACATTACATTACTACCTGCATGGAGCCTAGCTGGATTTACATCATCCTTCAGCCGCTGTTGATTGTAGGATAATTTAGCCGAAATTTAAAATAACAAAAATACTACGTTTAAAAACTTGGTACGTGAACATTTTACTTTGAAAGTTTTGGGGACCCGACCCTATGGTCGGCAGAGGATTTTTCGTCGCAATTGACAGATTCTGGCTCCTATCGCAGTACCATTCCTGCAAGCTATGAATGGCTTTTATGGTCGACCCGCCGTCCTGCAAGGCGACAACGCTAGGCCTCATGGGCCAAGATTGACACGGAATTCCTTAAGCAGCAGGATGTAGAGCGGATGGAGTGGCTAACATGCTCGCCAGACCTCAACCCATGTTGACGTGTTATATATCATTTGACCTTTCATTAATGACGCCTAGCATATTTCAGCAAGGCAGTACATAAGAAAGGTGATTTCTATCAGCAAATGACAAAGACTCAAGTCCACATTTAAATCTCATATCTTGTGTTGCCCTCCTTGACGTTCACACAGTATTTAATGGACCAATAATATCGTCCCCTCAAGTCTACTCAAAGTCTCACTGCAGACAAGGGAGTACTGTTGCATATATAGCCTATAAACAGTTTGAGGGAGCTACTTGTTTAGATAAGGCTATGAGTCAGTGTATGTCATTAACAATCGTCAAGATTCAATGCTGGGACAGTAACACCAACAATACTTTTAAACACTGCGACAGTCCTGGTCCATGCATGCTCATTTGTGTCGTAGATTGTTTTAAATAAAGCAGCGCTAGCACTGTCGATAAATCAGAGTTTCTTTGAGATCCCGAAAAGTATTTTTGGTCGTGTAATTGCTTTGTATTGAATGTAAATACTCAGTGTAAGAGTACTTGGGTGTAATATGTATGCAGCTTTACTTTGACACTCCAGCAGGAAATGATTTATCATAAACCCTTGCCAAACACAGATTGGATTGAAAGACGTCAGTCCTCTACTTCTTTTACAAACAAAGCATAATCGTTATCGTCGCCAGTGACTGAACAGTTTTGTAAATCCAGCTTGTAGCAAAAGCACTGTTAGTCCCCACTGTCCCTAGTATAGTTTTAACCTTCAGTTACTGGCGATCAATAGCCCATTTTCATATTGTTCTCTATAGTGATATCTTTTAATGACCACCTGCTAGTTTTAAAAGTTCAAATGTGATAGTCTAGTTATTGACAGATATTTAGACTGTCTCAGTTTACTTTTAATCTGGAACTCTTATAGTCATGATATGGCTGAATTACTGCCAATGTGACTTTAAAGTTTCACTTTTTTAGGCTTGTTTATACGGCCAAAATATACACATGTGCAAATTTGCATACATTTCATACGGACTTTAAGTACTTTAAGCAAAGTGGTAATACATCTTGATCATAGTTCATTTCTGCCCAAGCAAATGATGTAGTAAGACGTGAGATATCAAGAAGGCATTTCCCATATTGCAACGCTCAGAAAAAACGGTATTCACTGCCCAAATCAAACACCAGCTCAATTACGCAGATCTATAAGGCAATGTTAACCGTGGGTGCATCTAGACAGTTATAAACTTCCTAAGCTTGCTACCCTGGAAAACTGGTAAGGTAAAATTTGAATGTGTTGTAAAGGTGAAGCAGGACGTCTAAAACAACACCCACGAATATATTGTCACATGAAGACGCATATGTTTAAACCTCCACCAATAACAACACAACTATCTTCTCATCAGGAGTCAGATACCAAAATTGCTATGATTTAGTTGTCAGTCACATAATGCTGCTAATACATTATCTTTAAAAAGGAATGGAACGAACATAGCTTTATAATTTTAATAACTAAATCATCTCAGAAACCCGAAATCACCCAACAATATGATTAACTATACCTATGATTCTTGAGAGGCATTTAGAAGTCGGTGAATATATAAGACGAGTATATGGATGACAACTTCTTGTTTATTGTATAACACGTTTCTGGGCTACTTCTTACCCCTTCTTCAGCTGAATCACGTTTCTAGGGCTACTTCTTACCCATTCTTCATGTGATTCAGTTATTGATTCAGGTGATTGTGTTATACAATTAACAAGAAGTTGTCATCCCATATACTCGTCTGATGCCTATATATAGTTTGGTCAACTTATCGTTCTCACACTATATTACAGCGTGCGCACACTATATTACACAGTGCGCACAATTTAGTATCTCGTGTGCACGATATATAAAAATAAAATTCTCCAATTCATGCCCCGACAGCGCTTCCGTATTTTCTCACAGTAAAGTACTTAGAAATCTCCAAAATTGAGGCTTACGGCAGCTTTGTGAAACTGTGCCATGCGACGGAGCACATAGTGGACGCTTTTTTGTGCCATGCATTAACATTTTCTTCCCAAATCATTTTGATAACACAAGATTAAGAAGGGCACCTAGAAGTGCTTTGGGTGGTTATGTCACTACACTTCATATTAAAATGAGGACGTACATGCCTAATCATCAACTCATCTATCCTCAGTATGAGGAAGATACCCAAATTAAATGATTTTATAGGTGCCAGTCACATATTGTTGTGTATACGTTATCTACGAAACTACAAGTATAAACATATTTGTTAAGTTTATAGTAACTAAAATTCCTCAGAAAAAAAACGAAATCAAAGCAACAATGATGAAATATTTCTTACCCACTCCATTGGATCGAAGGCTGGACCCACAAAGCAAGGACGAAGATCAACAACGACACAGCTGAAGCCATTCTGGACGATTGTGCACTCACACGCAGAGACGCGCTGTGCTATAAAGATTCATCAAGGAAGTAACATACAAAGCAAACGTATGCAGTCACGTGGCTCTGCGTTGAAGCACTGCAGTCTGAAAAACCTGAACTCGTTGTATTCATTGCATCCCTTAAAGAGACATATCGTTCAAGTTATCCCTTTCTTTGTGTACATTTCGACAGTAATATACGATGTAAATGTTATTTGTTTTCAGATCCCTCACCTTCCGAACTAACAAAGTTTCTCTTCAGTCATAATCGTCGCTGAAAGAAACAGTTAAGAACAACGAGGTATCACTGTTCAAACCAAACCAAGTGAATTGGTACATCTTCAATGTTGTGAATGGATCTTGAGACCTCATTAAGACTGTTCCAAATTGCTATTCAGTAAACTCATTCAGTTGAATTATATTATAACTGTTCTGTAAAGGCGCGCAAATATATATGCCGCGTTGGTATTTCACAGACCAAATTGTTTTAGATCTTTAGTACCGGTTGTATAAGAGGGCTGTTTTCGATATTTCAAGAGGTGAATATATATGTTGCGAACAAAGAATATCTGACGGATATTCATGCAAAATGAATAGCAAATATAAATTCCCCATGCCTGCAAACCGACTTTGTAATCTTTGTAATCAAGCTTATGTGACGAACTCCATTTTGTACTAATATGTCCATCACTTATTGAACAACAAAAAAACTTTTCACCAAAATATTTCTGTGTGAATCCCTCAATCTGTAAGAGTATTTCTCTCAGGAAATGTGACTATCGACCACTCATCCTCAAGTGATCCAAATATATAAAACACTGTTTGTGCCTCTTCAAATGATATCATGTGGAGATATATATATATATATATATATATATATATACATACATATATATATATATATATATATACACACAGACCTGTATGTTCTCTATATCACTTTTTGTGCCTTTGAGAATAAAATTCTGTTCTGTTCTGACATCTTAAGTGACTTTTGCGGGTCAATACAGTACGACCAAAAGAAATGCAAACACTGAACCGCATTTAAGCGTGGCAGCCAAGCACGCCAACATAACCTGAAATGACCGTGCAAAATTACTTTTTGGGCCATGAAAACAATGCGTTTCATTTGTCTCTCATCACAATTGTGAAAAGTGAAAACATGCTATAAATTACATAAGTTGAACGTAACAACGCCATGGCTTGTCACCAATACCAGTCCTTGTCTCTGACAGCTTCAATCTACATACTTTGTGTGAAGCTATGCCAGCCAGTTCCAACATATTCAGAAACATCACCAGTGGTTACCGTTTGATCTTTCGTTTTGTGGTGAAGCAATGTGCCATTTGATCCATTTTGTCTACGGCGTCCTTTGTATTGTTGTAATAGAGGATGAATTCTGGCTTCTTCTTTGGGGGATGGCCAACATCAGGTGTATTATGCATTGTGCTCAACAGAACCACAGTTTTGTTTTTCTTGTATTGACAGCTGACAATTGTGGTCTTGCCCTTGAATCCAAAGATTGATGTGTTGACATCTCCTTTCTCTGTTTGAAACTGCAGGCAAGAAGCGCTTATTTTGACGGACTGTGCTAGTCTAAGACTGCAGGCAGTGAAGAAGTTGTCCGCAGTTATATTTCGGTTCGACACAAAGAATGGACGGCACAGATTCAGCGTCATCTGTTTACCCAATCCAACCTGGACGGTTCGACCCTGTTTCCGAAGAAATGGAATTCCTCTGATGCCCTCGCTGTTGTCAGAATCTTGAATCAAGAAAATCTGGATGCACGAACATCGACCATGGAGCTGTACCAGCTGCTCGTCTACAGTGAGGTTTTCACCCGGAACATAATGTTTCCTCAGAGCATTTTCAAACTCATCCCAGACATCTCTGATCGGTGGCAAGTTGTCTTTTGCGCGTCCGAAACTTCTTGCTTCCTTGTCATCAAACCTCAATGTATTCATCAGAGACTTGAATCTGTTTTGAGACATGGTACCTCTCACAATAGGTACTCCATACTTTTTTTCCCCATAAAACATTAGTGTCCAACATGTTTTGTTTCAGATGTCCACATGTCAGTAGAATTCCGCAAAATTGATTACTCTTTGGATTCGACCATAGATGATATTTCGTTGAGGAGTACCACTAGATTCAGGAGTAGTGTTCGACCATCTTCCTCCATCTTTTCCAAGATAAAATTCTTGGTCTTATGAATGAGACGAATGCATTGAATCTGCAGATTCAGAATCGGAAGAGTCCAAAGGAACAAATTCACTATCGGAAGAACTGTCGTCAGAAAGGAAAATATCACTTTCCTCAACGTCACTTTTACGTGATCTTCCCGTCTTGTTCATTGTGAGTGAGTTTAGTTTTACGCCGCACTGAGCAATATTCCAGCTGTATGGCGGTGGTCTGTAAATAATCGAGACCAGACAATCCAGTGATCAACAGCATGAGCATCGATCTGCGCAATTGGGAACCAATGACAACTCAGCGAGCCTGACCACCCGATCCCGTTAGTCGCCTCTTACGACAAGCATGGGTTACTGAAGATCAATATTCTAACCCGGGCCTTTACGGGTCTGTTCATTGTGAAGTGCTACTCACGCAATTACATCATCTGGCACATGGACCGTTTCCAGTCTCCAGTCCGTAGTTAGATAAAATTTACACTGTTATTAAAAACGTTTTTGCTAAATAACCTTTTACGTCTACTGCCAATAGTTTGGAAGAATTGAAGATTTTGACCTTTCAAAGAAATACGTGAACCGAAACTAACGTGCTTCTAATATTAAAGTTGTTTGTACACATGAAAACACCTAGGTGGGCCTCCAAAGGGTATATATTTGAGCAAAACAAATGTTGGTTGTCTTTTTAGAAAGTTTACATCCATTTTAGATAAACAGTGATGTTTGCTTCACGAAGGCGTGGCTAAAATTGCAAAGAGCCAATCGGAGAGTTGCTGTCGAAGGCAGCCCAAAACAGTGGTGTAACTATACAATACACCAAAGCTGAGATCAAAAGGGACCGCAGTCGGGGCATGGTACAAACATACCTACACAGTTACTATCTTTTCTTTAAACCCATTATAACAGCCTTGGCCTACTTCTCAACCTTTTGTTATTTATCATGTTTATGTATGCAAGTTTATATACAATTTGGGTAATGTTGTATCGCTTTTCTTGTTGCTCATGAGCCTGAACAGTAATGAATAGGATCGCAACAATAGTCCCGGAAGTGCAGTGCTATTTATCTGTAATGTTCAATTAACAAAGTCGAGGTCACCCAGCCCCATTATACGGACGCACAACAAACTTAGTTCAACACCAAAGGGAAGAACAACGCATATCTTGTAGACTCTCACCCTCCAGAAATTCTTGTCGCTTTGAAGCAAGCCATAGAATGTCCAAGTTACTAAGAAGAAACAAGGTTTACCCCACTGCTTGACCCAAACAGTCCACGTCTAAAATAAGAGGACGTAGGTCACAAGTATCCAGATTGAGATGAACAGTATTAATTGCATGAAATGATGCACATTTTTTAATTTCATCTCCTCAATCAGATGTGTGTTATAGCCAAGAGGGAAACATAAAGAAACAAAGGGGTAGGGTTCAAAGCACCAGCTTGAACATGGACATTGGAGTGGTATAACCTTTTGAGTTACATAGTGTCACTGAAATACTACTATATTACGGACAAGTGAGCAGATATATATTTCCTTTGGATGAACATTATATTTACTATAACTGATATAACAATATATGTGCTTTCAGTCATCGGAGGAAACAGCAAAGAGGGACAATGGCGAGTGACTTAATGCAACAACCATTATCTGTCAACTCTGATCCGCACTTTGTAAAAGCAAACTAAACTAACTGAGCCGCTGTGCTTACAAACTGCATGACTATTAATCCCCTGGTCTAATGGAGGAAGCACTGATGTTCCACATCACCAAGATATGCAGTGTGGATGATACGGTCTTGTGTATCATGAAAGGATCAAAAGCTAAATTATACACCACTGAAGTATATGCAAACAAAGTACAAAATACATGCTTTGATCGGATTTGCTTATGTTTCCAGACATTTCCAAACTTGAGTCTGTATTCACAGAGCAATTAACAAAACGTAAGACTTATTAATACTCATTTAACACAAAATGAAGACCAATTCAAAGCGTGGTTGCTTAAGGACTTAATGGCTTTCAATAAATGAACGATGATTTTTTTTCAAAAGGTGATTTGTAAAGGCAAAGGCAAGGGGAATAATTCATATTTCAAACTTGTATAGCTTCTATAACATGAACACAATCGTTATCACCCTGTTGATATCCTTTGTGAACTGCAAACCAGGAAGTATGTTTGCATACGAGTATTTACAAGTCTTACGTTTTGTGAATTGCACTGTGAATACAGACTCTTCCTTGTTTATCTTTAAATGAATCATATACACGAATGACAGCGACGCGAAAGCAACTTGAATATTCGTTTGCCAATTCCTGACGCTGAAGACACAAATAGGCATGTTAAGCGTTGACCAACCAGCGTAAAAGGGAATATGTACAAGGAAGTTGTACTGTGCTGGTTTAGGGCTATAAAATCATTGCCTTTTTACGACTGAAAAATGTTGTTCCATGTAGAGTGATCGCCACTAACATGTACTACCCGGGTAAGTAATCACAAAGCAAAACAGAACTAGAATGAACTAGACTTTTGAATGGCCATGGTTAAGTGATTACGAATGGCTTGTGTACAGTCCCACTTTAGAGGGAGGACTTTGCAAATATTGCTTTCTCTTTCCACCAAAAGATACACGTGTAGAGAGTGGTATTCTAGTTCAAACTCCCTTCAAAACATTTTCAAAAGCTAAAGGCAAAACTGGTGTTCTTACATGTTATGAACAGTTTAAATAGCATAGGGCTGCAGTTTTGAATTAAAAACGAGTGCATGAGAGTCCAGATACATGTCTCCAGTACTCAGTTTCCCCAAAACCCCAAAAACAAATTGATGTTGATCTAGAATCTATGGTAGACATTAATTATTCTGA